GCGTAATACGCGGGGGATGGACGGCGTAATACGCGGGGGGGGACGGCGTGACACGCGGGGGATGGACGGCGTAACACGCGGGGGATGGACGGCGTAATACGCGGGGGATGGACGGCATAATACGCGGGGGATGGACGGCATAATACGCGGGGGATGGACGGCATAATACGCGGTATAAACCTACAAACCACAACCTACCTGCAGTGAGCAGCGATGGGATGGCGGCACAGCGGATGAGATCCTCCAGTGAGAAGCATTGGCGAGCGACCAGGATTGCGACAAATATAGCGAGGGAGTCGTGAAATGAAAGATCGCTCACCTGGAAGGGCAAAAAGAAAACGGAAGCCGATTAGTGGAGAAACATTTCCTCTTCACCTATAGGACAATCCCGGAGTTCCGGGGGCTGTAAAGCTTCGGGGTTACATACCGGCTCTGTAATGGTTTGCACAGAGCAGCCTCGGGCCCCCCCCCCCCCCCCGCTGGTGGCTCCTGGCCCCTCCCTCCTGCCAAGTGGCCCCACAGCAAGCTGCATGCTCTGGGGGCACTCAAGCAAGGCTTCCTCCTGAGCCGCTGCTTTGTGTCCGCACACAGACAAAGCTCGGCCCCACCCCCCAACTCTTTCCTCATTGGCTCACTGGCTGTGATTGCCCAGTAGCGGGAGAGAAGACTTTCGGGGTGCGGGGGGAGGGGAGGGGTGCGGGGGGGGAGGGGAGGGGAGGGGTGGGGGGGGGGGAGGGGAGGGGAGGGGGGGGGGGGGGGGGGGGGGGGGGGGGGGGGGGGGGAGGGAGGGGGGGGATCAAACCTTCAGCCTATACAGCCACAACGAAGAACACAAATGAACTGACCGCGGGTGACACTCACATCTACATTACACAGAAGGTCGTTGAAGCCGCAGGTGCCGTTGTTGGATGAGCAGCAGAGAGCCTTGAGAACACCCAGCCACTCCGAACTCAGATCTTTACAGGCCCCGGTGAGCTCCGCACACAGGATGGCGATGTCATTCACCCTGCGGGGTACAGAGACAGGACTGTCATGTGACCTCTCCTATGAACCCCCCCCCCCCCCCCCCTCTATATGACAACCCCCCCCCCAACCCCCTCTATATGACAACCCCCCCAACCCCGTCTATATATTACATGCTCCCACCAACCCCCTCTATATGTGACACAACCCCCCCACCCCCAACCCCCCTCCATATAGGACACCCCCAACCCCCTCCATATAGGACCCCTCCATATAGGACACCCCCAACCCCCTCCATATAGGACACCCCCCACCTCCTCTATATGTGACACCCCAACCCCCTCCATATATGACAACCCCCCCCCCCCCCCAACCCCCTCTATATATTACATGCTCCCCCAACCCCCTCTATATATGTGACACCCCCCACCTCCTCTATATATGACACCCCCCCACCCTCTCTATGACACCCCCCCCACCCTCTCTATGACACCCTCTCTATATATGACACCCCCCAACCCCCTCCATATATGACACCCCCCAACCCCCTCCATATATGACACCCCCCACCTCCTCTATATATGACACCCCCTCTATATATGACACCCCCCACCTCCTCTATATATGACACCCCCCTCTATATATGACACCCCCCACCTCCTCTATATATGACACCCCCCAACCCCCTCCATATATGACACCCCTCACCTCCTCTATATATGACACCCCCCACCTCCTCTATATATGACACCCCCACCTCCTCTATATATGACACCCCCACCTCCTCTATATATGACACCCCCTCTATATATGACACCCCCCACCTCCTCTATATATGACACCCCCCCACCTCCTCTATATATGACACCCCCCACCTCCTCTATATATGACACCCCCCACCTCTATATATGACACCCCCCACCTCCTCTATATATGACACCCCCCCCCTCCCTATATATGACACCCCCCCCACCTCCTCTATATATGACACCCCCAACCCCCCTCCATATATGACACCCCTCACCCCCTCTATATATGACACCCCCCCCCACCTCCTCTATATATGACACCCCCCCAACCCCCTCCATATATGACACCCCTCACCCCCTCTATATATGACACCCCCCCACCTCCTCTATATATGACACCCCCCCCTCCTCTATATATGACACCCCCTCTATATATGACACCCCCCACCTCCTCTATATATGACACCCCCCAACCCCCTCCATATATGACACCCCTCACCTCCTCTATATATGACCCCCCCACCTCCTCTATATATGACACCCCCTCTATATATGACACCCCCTCTATATATGACACCCCCCCCCCTCCTCTATATATGACACCCCCAACCCCCTCCATATATGACACCCCCCAACCCCCTCCATATATGACACCCCCCACCTCCTCTATATATGACACCCCCTCTATATATGACACCCCCCACCTCCTCTATATATGACACCCCCCAACCCTCCTATATGTGACACCCCCCACCTCCTCTATATGTGACACCCCCCACCTCCTCTATATGTGACACCCCCCACCTCCTCTATATATGACACCCCCCACCTCCTCTATATATGACACCCCCCACCTCCTCTATATATGACACCCCCCACCTCCTCTATATATGACACCCCCCACCTCCTCTATATATATGACACCTCCCACCTCCTCTATATATGACACCTCCTCTATATATGACACCCCCTCTATATATGACACCCCCCTCTATATATGACACCCCCCTCTATATATGACACCCCTCACCTCCTCTATATATATGACACCTCCCACCTCCTCTATATATGACACCTCCTCTATATATGACACCCCCTCTATATATGACACCCCCTCTATATATGACACCCCCCTCTATATATGACACCCCCCAACCCTCTCTATATATGACACCCCCCACCTCCTCTATATATGACACCCCCTCTATATATGACACCCCCCCCAACCCCCCCCTCTATATGACACCCCCCCCCCCCCCCCAACCCCCTCTATATATGACAGCCCCCCCCAACCCCCTCTATATATGACAGCCCCCCCCCTCCTCTATATATGACCTCTCCTATGACGCACACCCCCCCCCACCTCCTTTATATATATATATAACCTTTCATCCTATGACATCCACCCCCCCCTTCATATAAGACCTATCACCCCATGACACCCCCCCCTTTATATATGACCTCTCATCCTATGACACCCCCCCCCCCAACCTCCTCTATATATGACCTCTCATCCTATGACACCCCCCCCTCTATATGACCTCTCTTCCCATGACACCCCCTCCAACCTCCTCTATATATGACCTCTCATCCTATGACACACCCCCCCCCAACCTCCTCTATACATGACCTCTCATCCTATGACTATATGACCCCCCCCCCCAACCTCCTCTATACATATGACCTCTCATCCTATGACACCCCCCCCCCCAACCTCCTCTATACATGACCTCTCATCCTATGACACCCCCCCCCCCAACCTCCTCTATACATGACCTCTCATCCTATGACACCCCCCCCCAACCTCCTCTATACATGACCTCTCATCCTATGACACCCCCCCCCAACCTCCTCTATATATGACCTCTCATCCCATGACACCCCCCCCCCCCTCTCTTCATAAATGACCTCTCATCCTATGACATATATGACCTCTCATTCTCACCCAATGACACCCCCCCCCAATCCTCCTCTATATATGACCTCTCATACTATGACACCCCCCCCTCTATATATGACCTCTCATTCTCACCCCATGACACCCCCCCCCAACCTCCTCTATACATGACCTCTCATCCTATGACACCCCCCCCCAACCTCCTCTATACATGACCTCTCATCCCATGACCCCCCCCCTTTATGACCTTTTTGGATGTAGCGGAATCGTCCTGTATTATCCCCCCCCCCCCCTCACCTGTCTATGTCATGGTCTCCAACACACACATGTACGAGCGCATTGCACACGAAGCTGTAGCGGTTGGTGGGCGTGTCTCTCAGGAGTTTTCCCAGCATGCCGCAGTTATAGCTGTGTGCCGAGGGGTTGATGATGGTGTCCAGCATGAATTCCTGTTCCCACAACATGTTGGAGTCAGACGGGTCCACAATGCAGTATATGGTGTTCTTCACCTTGGAGCAGAAATCGCTGCGGAACGAACAACAACGTGAGGAACGATTCATCCCATCCCTAGTATATGTCGTAGTGCCCCTCCCCCTCCCAACCCCTGTAAGGCCGGCCATACACTATACAATTTCTGCCCAATTTCCTTTACATTTACCTTCAGCTGTGCAGGGCAACGGCCACCCTGATTGGATACAACTGAAAGCGTTGTTAGGTTTGATCTCCTATTATATGGTTTTTGGTAAATCTAAAGAAAATTGTATAATGTGTGGCCGGCCTAAGAAAGATGTACCTACCTAGCCATTTCCAGCCCGCTCTGCTCCGGTCACATCAGTTCGTAGCAGCAGCTGCAGGGGAGAGGAGGGACGTCCGACAATGGCTGGGCCATAGGATCCTATGGGTGACGTCACAGGCTTTAGGAGCCGTTCTGAGCGCGCTCCCTCCTGTCCCCTGCAGCTGGCTGACACAGGGGAGCGGGATCATGTGACCGGACCAGAGCGGACTGGCTGCAGGCAAGCACAAAGATCTTTCCCTCGCAGGGGAGTCAGGATCGGACGGGGGAGGGAGCGGTTTGAATAACTCGTTCGGTTTCCTTCTGGAAACTGTGGGCAGCTCCGCCCCTTCCCGGGACATAATGAGAGGTTCCGTTCCCTGAATAGGCACTCACCTGAATAGTTCTCCATATTTGCTCTTCAGATGGCTGCAGTACATGTACAGATCATAGAGGTAGGCCAGGATACATCGCTCAGCGGAGGAGCCGTCCGACCGGTTCATGCCGTGCTTCACAACACCACACAGGCTGCAACAGGAGGAAACCGAGACTTAAAGAGGAACTCCGGCCTTACCTCTCTGTCCCACACCATCATGTCCTCCTCTAGGTGCACCTGGATTTACCAACCGTTCTGTGTCCTCCACCCCCCTCTACCAATCCCTCCACTGGCCTCCACTCAGTGTCCTCCACCCCCCTCTGCCAATCCCTCCACTGGCCTCCACTCAGTGTCCTCCACCCCCCTCTGCCAATCCCTCCACTGGCCTCCACTCAGTGTCCTCCACCCCTCTCTGCCAATCCCTCCACTGGCCTCCATTCAGTGTCCTCCACCCCCCTCTGCCTATCCCTCCACTGGCCTCCATTCAGTGTCCTCCACCCCCCTCTGCCAATCCCTCCACTGGCCTCCACCCCTCTCTGCCAATCCCTCCACTGGCCTCCATTCAGTGTCCTCCACCCCCCTCTGCCAATCCCTCCACTGGCCTCCACTCAGTGTCCTCCACCCCCCTCTGCCAATCCCTCCACTGGCCTCCATTCAGTGTCCTCCACCCCTCTCTGCCAATCCCACCACTGGTCTCCATTCAGTGTCCTCCACCCCTCTCTGCCAATCCCTCCACTGGCCTCCACTCAGTGTCCTCCACCCCCCTCTGCCAATCCCTCCACTCAGTGTCCTCCACCCCTCTCTGCCAATCCCTCCACTGGCCTCCATTCAGTGTCCTCCACCCCCCTCTGCCTATCCCTCCACTGGCCTCCATTCAGTGTCCTCCACCCCCCTCTGCCAATCCCTCCACTGACCTCCATTCAGTGTCCTCCACCCCTCTCTGCCAATCCCTCCACTGGCCTCCACTCAGTGTCCTCCACCCCCTCTGCCAATCCCTCCACTGGCCTCCACTCAGTGTCCTCCACCCCCCTCTCTGCCAATCCCCCTCCACTGACCTCCATTCAGTGTCCTCCACCCCCCTCTGCCAATCCCTCCACTGGCCTCCATTCAGTGTCCTCCACCCCTCTCTGCCAATCCCTCCACTGGCCTCCACCCCTCTCTGCCAATCCCTCCACTGGCCTCCATTCAGTGTCCTCCACCCCTCTCTGCCAATCCCACCACTGGTCTCCATTCAGTGTCCTCCACCCCTCTCTGCCAATCCCTCCACTGGCCTCCACTCAGTGTCCTCCACCCCCCTCTGCCAATCCCTCCACTGGCCTCCACTCAGTGTCCTCCACCCCTCTCTGCCAATCCCTCCACTGGCCTCCATTCAGTGTCCTCCACCCCCCTCTGCCTATCCCTCCACTGGCCTCCATTCAGTGTCCTCCACCCCCCTCTGCCAATCCCTCCACTGGCCTCCACCCCTCTCTGCCAATCCCTCCACTGGCCTCCATTCAGTGTCCTCCACCCCTCTCTGCCAATCCCACCACTGGTCTCCATTCAGTGTCCTCCACCCCTCTCTGCCAATCCCTCCACTGGCCTCCACTCAGTGTCCTCCACCCCCCTCTGCCAATCCCTCCACTCAGTGTCCTCCACCCCTCTCTGCCAATCCCTCCACTGGCCTCCATTCAGTGTCCTCCACCCCCCTCTGCCTATCCCTCCACTGGCCTCCATTCAGTGTCCTCCACCCCCCTCTGCCAATCCCTCCACTGACCTCCATTCAGTGTCCTCCACCCCTCTCTGCCAATCCCTCCACTGGCCTCCACTCAGTGTCCTCCACCCCCCTCTGCCAATCCCTCCACTGGCCTCCACTCAGTGTCCTCCACCCCCCTCTGCCAATCCCTCCACTGACCTCCATTCAGTGTCCTCCACCCCCCTCTGCCAATCCCTCCACTGACCTCCATTCAGTGTCCTCCACCCCTCTCTGCCAATCCCTCCACTGGCCTCCACTCAGTGTCCTCCACCCCCCTCTGCCAATCCCTCCACTGGCCTCCACTCAGTGTCCTCCACCCCCTCTGCCAATCCCTCCACTGACCTCCATTCAGTGTCCTCCACCCCCTCTCTGCCAATCCCTCCACTGGCCTCCACTCAGTGTCCTCCACCCCTCTCTGCCAATCCCTCCACTGGCCTCCATTCAGTGTCCTCCACCCTCTCTCTGCCAATCCCTCCACTGGCCTCCACTCTCCCTCCACCCCCCTCTGCCAATCCCTCCACTGGCCTCCACTTGCTCAACGAATACATTTCAAAACACGAACAACAACTTACAAAGCCATCCACAACTCTGCCCCGGCTACATCACCAACCTGGTCTCAAAATATCAACCAAACCGCTCTCTCCGATCCTCCCAAGACCTTCTGCTCTCTAGTTCCCATGTCACCTCCTCCCATGCTCGCCTCCAGGACTTCTCCGAGCTTCTCCCATCCTTTGGGACTCCCTACCCCAATCTGCCCGGCTGTCTCCTAATCTATCCACCTTTAGACGATCCCTGAAAACCTCTTTAAAGAAGCCTATCCTGCTTCTACCTAGTAAACCGCATTTATTTCCTCCATTCACCTCTCCTCCTGATCTGTACCGTCATTGGCCGCCTCTCACACTTAGTCGGCCACCATGTTGCTCTGTGTTATGTGTGAGCGGGATCTTCAGGGCAGATCTCACCCCTTCTACTGCTGTTCCCAATGGCTACAGAAAACATCCCTCATATCCCTTTAGAATCTAAAATGGTCACTGGGTGGTGGACACTATATTTGTGCAATCTGTTGATCATTCCATTAGATCAGGATTCTCCAAACTCTGGCCCTCCAGCTGTTGAAGTACTACAAGTCCCATCATGCCTCTGGGAGTCTTGCCTGTGGCTGTTCAGAGTCTTGGGACTTGCGGTTCCTCACCTGGAGGGCCAGAGTTTGGAGAATCCTGAGCTAATAGAATGATCAACAGATTGCACAAATATAGTGGCCACCACCCAGTGACCATTTTAGATTCTAAAGGGATATGAGGGATGTTTTTGGGAAAAGCAGTAGAAGGGGTGAGATCTGCCCTGAAGATCCCGCTCACACATAACACAGAGCAACATGGTGGCCGACAAAGTGTGAGAGGCGGCCAATGACGGTTTGGAGACCCCCCCGTATTAGAGCAATCAAGCAACTGATTAGCAGATTGCACAGTGAAAATCTGCAGGACTCGGTGGCCAGCAGAAATGCACATTGAAAGGAATGCCGGGGATTTGTTTATTCATAGAATGTTCAGGCTAATGCCGGCCATAGACGGGTCGAAAAGCAGACGATTTTTGCACTTGTTAGTGGGTTAATTGGTCGGCCGTTTTTCGGGTTTTTTTGCACAGTTTTTTTTTTTTTTAATCGGTCATGTTAGAAAAATTTGCGGCCGATTTTCCTGGCAATGATGAGCAAATCGGCCGATCGTTTTTAAACCGATAAAAAAAATCTGTGCCGTGACCTGGAAGTAGGAGAAGGAAGAGAGAAAGAAGGAAGAAGAGGGAGAAGAAGGAGGAAGGAGGAAAAAGACAAAGAAGGAAAAAAAAGAAGAAGGAGAAGAAAGGAGAAGGAAGAAAGAAGAAGGAAGAAGAAGAAGGAAGCAGAAAGAAGAAGAGGGAAAAAAGAAGGAAGAAGGAAGGAAGAGGAAGGAAGAAGGAAGAAGAGGGAGAAGAAGGAGGAAGAAGGGGGAAGAAAGAAGGAAGGAGGAAGGAAGGAGGAAAAAGAAAAAGGAAAAAAAAGAAGGAGAAGAAAGGAGAAGGAAGAAAGAAGAAGGAAGAAGAAGAAGGAAGCAGAAAGAAGAGGGAAAAAAGAAGGAAGAAGGAAGGAAGAAGGAAGAGGAAGGAAGAAGAAGAGAGAAGAAAAAGAAGAAAGAAGAAGAAAGAAGAAGAAAGAAGAAGGAAGAAGAGGAAAAAAGAAGGAAGAGGAAGGAAAGAAGAAGGAAGAGGAAGAAAGAAGAAGAAGGAAGAAGAAGGAAGGAAGGAAGAAGAAGGAAAAAAGAAGGAAGAAGAGGAAAAAAGAAGGAAGAAGAAGGAAGAAGGAAGGAAGGAGGAAGGAAGGAAGGAAGAAGAAGGAAGAAGGAAGGAAGGAAGGAAGGAGAAGGAAGGAGGAAGGAAGAAGAAGGAAGGAAGGAAGGAGGAAGGAGGAAGGAAGAAGAAGAAGGAAGGAAGGAAGGAGGAAGGAAGGAAGGAAGTAGAAAAAGAAGGAAAAAAAGAAGAAGGAGAAGAAAGGAGAAGGAAGAAAGAAGTAGGAAGAAAGCAGAAGGAGAAGGAAGAAGAAGAAGAAAGAAGGAAGGAGAAGGAAGCAGAAGAAGAAGGAAGAAGAGGAAGGAAGCAGAAGAAGGAGAAGAAGGAAGAAGAAGGAGGAAGAAGAAGGAACACTGTATGGCGTGCCCCCCCGTCTCTCTGTCACACTGTGTGGTGCGCTCCCCCGTCTCTGTCATCTGTCACACTGCATGGTGTGCTCCCCCGTCTCTGTCACACTGCATGGTGCGCTCCCCCCGTCTCTGTCACACTGCATGGTGCGCTCCCCGTCTCTGTCACACTGCATGGTGCGCTCCCCCGTCTCTGTCACACTGCATGGTGCGCTCCCCCGTCTCTGTCACACTGCGTGGTGCGCTCCCCCGTCTCTGTCACACTGCGTGGTGCGCTCCCCCGTCTCTGTCACACTGCGTGGTGCGCTCCCCCGTCTCTGTCACACTGCAGTGGTGCGCTCCCCCGTCTCTGTCACACTGCGTGGTGCGCTCCCCCGTCTCTGTCATCTGTCACACTGCATGGTGTGCTCCCCCGTCTCTGTCACACTGCGTGGTGCGCTCCCCCATCTCTGTTACACTGTGTGGTGCGCTCCCCCGTCTCTGTCACACTGTATGACGCGCTCCCCCCGTCTCTGTCACACTGTATGACGCGCTCCCCCGTCTCTGTCACACTGTATGACGCGCTCCCCCGTCTCTGTCACACGCTCCCCCGTCTCTGTCACACTGTATGGACGCGCTCCCCCGTCTCTCACACTGTATGGTGCGCTCCCCCGTCTCTGTCACACTGTACGGTGAGCTCCCCCGTCTCTGTCACACTGTATGGTGCGCTCCCCCGTCTCTGTCACACTGTATGGCGCGCTCCCCGTCTCTGTCGCACTGTATGGTGCGCTCCCCCGTCTCTGTCGCACTGTATGGTGCGTCCCCCGTCTCTGTCACACTGTATGGTGCGCTACCCCCCGTCTCTGTCGCACTGTATGGTGCGCTCCCCCGTCCCCCGTCTCTGTCGCACTGTATGGTGCGCTCCCCCGTCTCTGTCGCACTGTATGGTGCGCTCCCCCGTCTCTGTCGCACTGTATGGTGCGCTCCCCGTCTCTGTCGCACTGTATGGTGCGCTCCCCCGTCTCTGTCACATTGTATGGTGTGCTCCCCCGTCTCTGTCACATTGTATGGTGCCCCGTGTCACGCTCCCCCGTCTCTGTCACATTGTATGGTGCGCTCCCCCGTCTCTGTCACATTGTATGGTGTGCTCCCCGTCTCTGTCACATTGTATGGTGTGCTCCCCCGTCTCTGTCACATTGTATGGTGTGCTCCCCCGTCTGTCATGCTGGTTTCTTGTCCCATTATTTCGGGAGCATTGGTGGCGGCATTGGCAACGGCACTGACCGATTTTTCGTTTATTGGCCGATAAACGGCCCGTCTATGGTCTGATTGGAGATGCTTTGGCAGAAACAGCAGTACAGTGACTGAGGGCAGCCAATCATGGCGGGCAGAATTTAAATAAATCCCTCCCAAGAGCCAGCCCACTGCTTGAGAGGGCTCCTGAAAGAAGATCCGAGGCGGGGCGCTGGGATATTTACAGGAGCCTGCCAGCAGACCGATCCAGTGATCACATGACCGGGTCTCAAAAGAGGCATTTCTTATTAAAAAAAAAAAAAAAAAAAAAAAAAAAGTTGTGATTGTAATATATTGATTGCATGTTAATCAGGAGGAGAGGGGAGGACCAGGGAAAGTACTAAATGCATGCATTCCTCTACATCTTTAATAAAAATATAAAATCACAGGATAAAGAAAATGAGATTCGTCTCCTGTCCTGTGACAACATTGTATGTATGAACAGTGTGCGTTGTCCTCACCCCTCGAAGACCTGCGCCGTCTGCTCCTGGTTGAGGATCAGGCACGTGTTGTAATGTCGCAGGACGGCCACGATACACAGACACAGGCCCATCGTGTAACTGCCAACCAGGTTGGAGGATTTCAGCAGGAGCTCCGCTTCCACCACGCTCAGCTCGTTCAACAGCTTGGGGGGGGGGAAACAACAGAATGAGAACGGCACCAAAGAGAAGCGACATAAAATCACGTGCGTCAGAAAATGGCGGGGAAATAATGGCGGTTCCCACCTGGATGGCGAAGTCGATGAGGCCGCTGATATTCAGAGAATACTCCATCAGGTCGAAGATGAACTGCACGTGCTGCACCAGGGGGAGGTGGTAAGACAAGCCGAGGGCAAAGCTCGTTATCTGCTCCAAGACGTTCCGGGAAACCTGCAAGCAGCAGAATGGTCCGCTTCAGTCCCCGACATTGCACACAATGCGACTCGGCTGTGCCCGGCTCCGGGCGGAGACCAAAGACACGCGTGAATGCGGAGGTGTTCCATAACGGACCAGTACATGTAATATTCGAAGACTCGGAGACACCCGAATCTGATCTGGTATCAGACTCCTGCAGTCCCTGTGCAAGGGAGCTCAGACTGGGAGAGGGAGAAGCCCATCCAATGGACTGCGGAGCTCAGACTGGGAGAGGGAGAAGCCCATCCAATGGACTGCGGAGCTCAGACTGGGAGAGGGAGAAGCCCATCCAATGGACTGCAGAGCTCAGGTACTACAAAAGGACATTCACACAAATGCGACTTGTCATGTGATTTGACAGTTCCAAGTTGCACCCTATTAAGAGCAATGGAACCGTTCAAATTGGTGCGGCTCTGACTTTACGGTGCGATTCTGACTTTACCGCTCGATTCTGACTTTACCGCTCGATTCTGAATTTACCGTGCGGCTCTGAGTTTTTGGTGCGGATCCGACTTTACCGCTCGATTCTGACATTACGGTGTGGCTCTGACTTTACCGCTCGATTCTGACTTTACAACCGCTCGATTCTGACTTTACGGCTCGGCTCTGACTTTACCGCTCGATTCTGACTTTACGGTGCGGCTCCGACTTTACCGCTCGATTCTGACTTTACGGTGCGGCTCCGACTTTACCGCTCGATTCTGACTTTACGGTGCGGCTCCGACTTTACCGCTCGATTCTGACTTTACGGTGCGGCTCCGACTTTACGCTCGATTCTGACTTTACGGTGCGGCTCCGACTTTACCGCTCGATTCTGACTTTACGGTGCGGCTCCGACTTTACCGCTCGATTCTGACTTTACGGTGCGGCTCTGACTTTACCGCTCGATTCTGACTTTACGGTGCGGCTCTGACTTTACCGCTCGATTCTGACTTTACGCTCGATTCTGACTTTACGGTGCGGCTCCGACTTTACCGCTCGATTCTGACTTTACGGTGCGGCTCTGACTTTACCGCTCGATTCTGACTTTACGGTGCGGCTCTGACTTTACCGCTCGATTCTGACTTTACGGTGCGGCTCTCCGACTTTACCGCTCGATTCTGACTTTACGGTGCGGCTCTGACTTTTGCTCGATTCTGACTTTTACGGTGCGGCTCCGACTTTACCGCTCGATTCTGACTTTACGGTGCGGCTCTGACTTTACCGCTCGATTCTGACTTTACGGTGCGGCTCCGACTTTACCGCTCGATTCTGACTTTACGGTGCGGCTCCGACTTTACCGCTCGATTCTGACTTTACGGTGCGGCTCCGACTTTACCGCTCGATTCTGACTTTACTGCTCGATTCTGACTTTACGGTGCGGCTCTGACTTTACGGCGCGGATCTGACTTTACCGCTCGATTCTGACTTTTTGGTGCGGCTCTGACTTTACCGCTCGATTCTGACTTTACGGTGCGGCTCCGACTTTACCGCTCGATTCTGACTTTACGGTGCGGCTCCGACTTTACCGCTCGATTCTGACTTTACGGTGCGGCTCCGACTTTACCGCTCGATTCTGACTTTACGGTGCGGCTCCGACTTTACCGCTCGATTCTGACTTTACGGTGCGGCTCCGACTTTACCGCTCGATTCTGACTTTACTGCGGCTCGACTTTACCGCTCGATTCTGACTTTACGGTGCGGCTCTGACTTTACCGCTCGATTCTGACTTTACGGTGCGGCTCTGACTTTACCGCTCGATTCGGACTTTACGGTGCCGCTAGGACTTGAAAAAAAAAGGTTCCTGCGCTGTTTTGTGGCGATTTTAGGTGCGACTTGCATAGACATCAGTGCAGGACAGAGAACACACAAGAGGGGCGCACTCCTCATGCATTACCGTGGTATAAAATGTATCTAAAAAAGGTAACAAATGGATACGGACAAAACAAACGGCATGATAGGCAGAGTAGCCCGAGTATGGGACGTCCGCGGCCCTTCCTGCAACTGGCCGGATAACAGACCTGACACGTTTCGGCCAGCTGACCTCCCTTCTTCAGAGCTGAACAAGCCAAATGTGCCAATTACTTATATACAGCCATAGATTGGGAGCCGACGCCCCGCCTCCACCACGTGGACCCCCACAAGGCGGGTCCTGACCAGGGACCACCACCTCCTCATGGCGGTCTACGGCAGGAAGGGCCCCGGACATCCCATACTATTGTGTTATGAGCCAATCACGTGGTTTGTTTTGTCAGTATCCATGTGCTACCTCTTTAGATGCATACATGTGATCCCACCGTAATGCAGGAAGAGTGAGCGCCCTCTTGTGTGCCCCTTGTAGAGTGTTGAAGATTCACCAATCAGTGAAGGGCTGCGCCTGGTGGAGGGGCGTACGGCGTGGCACGTGGAGCGTCCTGATTGGAGCGCTGATGTGATTTTCTGTACATCCGTGCATGAAGCCGCGCACACGTCAGCCAAGGCGCACCTGAAATCGCACTGACTTTGAAATCGAGTGAAGTCGCATTCAGTGTGAACCGGAGGTTAGGGCTCATGCACACGCGTGCAAAATACCGCCTGCTTCCTCATTATACATGACGTCAGCACAGCTGCTGCATCCCTACAGCGCAGTCACGGTGTTACAGAGGAACGTGTCGTCAGCAAGATCCTTCTCTAAAATCATATTGCCGTGTATGTGTGTGCGTGTGTGTGTGTGTGTGTGTGTGTGTGTGTGCGTGTCAGCAAGAGCCTTCTCTAAAATCATATAGCCGTGTGTGTGCATGTATGTGCACACGTGAGTGTGTGTGCGTGTGAGTGAGCCCTTAACCTGGTATTATAAGAAGATACACGCGCACACACACAGTCTTACCGATTTTATATCTGGAAACACCGTCTGTAAGAAACTCGTCTCTCATAGTTACCTGAGCTGTGACTTGGTGCTGATCAAAATGTGAGAGCTGCTGAAACCGGCTGAAAATTTCCTCGGCTGTGGGAAAGGCCTCTGGCTTGGCCCGGCGCTTGCGTTGCCCTTCATTGGAGCCTGTCAGAGAGTCGCTATTCATTAATCTGCTCATGTCTCACCTCTATGGATTCTGAACATTAAAGAAGAACTCCAACCTTGTTACCTCCTCCCATCCCTCTCAGAGACACCTCCCCCCCCCCATCCCCATCCCACCCCCCCCCCCATCCCCATCAGAGACACCCCCCCCCTCCCATCCGAGCACCTGAATCCCATGATTGGGAGGGGATTGGAACACCTGAATCACATGATATGGAGGGGATTGGAACACCTGAATCACATGATATGGAGGGGATTGGAACACCTGAATCACATGATATGGAGGGGATTGGAACACCTGAATCACATGATATGGAGGGGATTGGAACACCTGAATCCCATGATTGGGAGGGGATTGGAACACCTGAATCCCATGATTGGGAGGGGATTGGAACACCTGAATCACATGATATGGAGGGGATTGGAACACCTGAATCACATGATATGGAGGGGATTGGAACACCTGAATCACATGATATGGAGGGAATTGGAACACCTGAATCACATGATTGGGAGGAGATTGGAACACCTGAATCACATGATATGGAGGGGAATGGAACACCTGAATCACATGATATGGAGGGGAATGGAACACCTGAATCACATGATATGGAGGGGATTGGAACACCTGAATCACATGATTTGGAGGGGATTGGAACACCTGAATCACATGATATGGAGGGGAATGGAACACCTGAATCACATGATATGGAGGGGAATGGAACACCTGAATCACATGATATGGAGGGGATTGGAACACCTGAATCACATGATATGGAGGGGATTGGAACACCTGAATCACATGATATGGAGGGAATTGGAACACCTGAATCACATGATTGGGAGGGGATTGGGGCACCTGAATCACGATTGGGAGGGGATTGGGGCACCTGAATCCCATGATATGGAGAGGATTGGGGCACCTGAATCACATGATTGGAGGGCGGGGCCAATACCTGGGGCAGTATATATATATATATATACACACAGATAGATATTTTTGTATCATTTCTTGTTAGTCCCGTTCTACTTTAACCCCTCCCCCCCCCCCCCCCCGAGCTCTTACCTGTCTCCGCGGTACTCTTACGGTTTAGCACCTTCAGGATGTCCCGCGTGATTTTCTTGATCACATGACGAGCGTCGTCCCTTTGCCGGCCCACTCCGAACAGAACGACCAATCTCTGGTTGCATTCATGGCTGCACGACTCCTCCTACAGAATGATGAGCAGAAAGGTGGAGGAGGCCGAGCAGCAAAGAAATGACGAGAAAAGTATAAAAGCATAAAAAACAACCCAAAAAAAAAAAAAAAAAAAATGTATTTGCTGTAATCCAAGGCTCCATTGCTAGGACTTCCCCTCACTTCCTGGCACGGTGACAACCATTTTACCAGACAGGAAGTGAGGGACGAGGACACAGGAACTGCAAAGCACCCAGAACACAATGACAGAGGGGGGGAGGGTTCACATTGTCCATGTGGCGCCCCCTAGGCTGGCTCTCACCTGCGGGATGGGGAAGTGTGTGGCGTACTGGATGTGACGCGGCTGGTCATAGAGGGACGCCAGAGGTCCATCGGCTGCTGGAGGCTTCACCGCACGCCGCGCTTCACAGTCTCCTTCATCCGGTCCTGGGCTCCGCCCCTCACAGCGCATTGCGGGCGAGAACATCTGCAGAGTCATTACAGAGCAAACAGTGAAATGTACGGAGCGGGACGGGCGGGGGGAAACGTACGGAGCGGGACACGCGGGGAAACGTACGGAGCGGGACGGGCGGGGAAACGTACGGAGCGGGACGGGCGGGGAAACGTACGGAGCGGGACGGGGCGGGGAAACGTACGGAGCGGGACGGGCGGGGAAACGTACGGAGCGGGGACACGCGGGGAAACGTACGGAGCGGGGGACGGGCGGGGAAACGTACGGAGCGGGACACGCGGGGAAACGTACGGAGCGGGACGGGCGGGGAAACGTACGGAGCGGGACGGGCGGGGAAACGTACGGAGCGGGACGGGCGGGGAAACGTACGGAGCGGGACGGGCGGGGAAACGTACGGAGCGGGGACACGCGGGGAAACGTACGGAGCGGGACACGCGGGGAAACGTACGGAGCGGGGACGGGCGGGGAAACGTACGGAGCGGGACACGCGGGGAAACGTACGGAGCGGGGACGGGCGGGGAAACGTACGGAGCGGGGACGGGGCGGGGAAACGTACGGAGCGGGGACGGGCGGGGAAACGTACGGAGCGGGGACGGGCGGGGAAACGTACGGAGCGGGGACGGGCGGGGGAAACGTACGGAGCGGGGGACGGGCGGGGAAACGTACGGAGCGGGGACGGGCGGGGAAACGTACGGAGCGGTTACGGGCGGGGAAACGTACGGAGCGGGGACGGGCGGGGAAACGTACGGAGCGGGGACGGGCGGGGGGAAACGTACGGAGCGGGGACGGGCGGGGAAACGTACGGAGCGGGGGGGACGGGGGCGGGGAAACGTACGGAGCGGGGACGGGCGGGGAAACGTACGGAGCGGGGACGGGCGGGGAAACGTACGGAGCGGGGACGGGCGGGGAAACGTACGGAGCGGGGACGGGCGGGGGGTAACGTACGGGGACGGCGGGGAAACGTACGGAGCGGGGGACGTACGGGCGGGGAAAACGTACGGAGCGGGGACGGGCGGGGAAACGTACGGAGCGGGGACGGGCGGGGAAACGTACGGAGCGGGGACGGGCGGGGAAACGTACGGAGCGGGGGACGGGCGGGGAAACGTACGGAGCGGGGGGGCGGGGAAACGTACGGAGCGGGGACGGGCGGGGGAAACGTACGGAGCGGGGACGGGCGGGGAAACGTACGGAGCGGGGACACGGAGCGGGGGCGGGGAAACGTACGGAGCGGGGACGGGGGCGGGGAAACGTACGGAGCGGGGACGGGGGCGGGGAAACGTACGGAGCGGGGACGGGCGGGGAAACGTACGGAGCGGGGACGGGGGGGGAAACGTACGGAGCGGGGACGGCTGGGAAACGTACGGAGCGGGGACGGGCGGGGAAACGTACGGAGCGGGGACGGGCGGGGAAACGTACGGAGCGGGGACGGGCGGGGAAACGTACGGAGCGGGACGGGCGGGGAAACGTACGGAGCGGGGACGGGCGGGGAAAACGTACGGAGCGGGACACGCGGGGAAACGTACGGAGCGGGGACGGGCGGGGGAAACGTACGGAGCGGGGGGGACGGGCGGGGAAACGTACGGAGCGGGGACGGGCGGGGAAACGTACGGAGCGGGGACGGGCGGGGAAACGTACGGAGCGGGGACGGGCGGGGGAAACGTACGGAGCGGGGACGGGCGGGGAAACGTACGGAGCGGGGACGGGCGGGGAAACGTACGGAGCGGGGACGGGCGGGGAAACGTACGGAGCGGGGACGGGCGGGGAAACGTACGGAGCGGGGACGGGCGGGGAAACGTACGGAGCGGGGACGGGCGGGGAAACGTACGGAGCGGGGACGGGCGGGGAAACGTACGGAGCGGGGGACGGGGGGGGAAACGTACGGGGGGGGACGGGCGGGGAAACGTACGGGGCGGGGACGGGCGGGGAAACGTACGGGGCGGGGGACGGGCGGGGAAACGTACGGGGCGGGGACGGGCGGGGAAACGTACGGGGCGGGGACGGGCGGGGAAACGTACGGGGCGGGGACGGGCGGGGAAACGTACGGGCGGGGACGGGCGGGGAAACGTACGGGGCGGGGACGGGCGGGGAAACGTACGGAGCGGGGACGGGCGGGGAAACGTACGGAGCGGGGACGGGCGGGGAAACGTACGGAGCGGGGACGGGCGGGGAAAACGTACGGAGCGGGGACGGGCGGGGGAAACGTACGGAGGGGACGGGGGAAACGGGCGGGGAAACGTACGGAGCGGGGGACGGGCGGGGAAAACGTACGGAGCGAGCGGGGACGGGCGGGGAAACGTACGGGCGGGGAACGGGACGGGCGGGGAAACGTACGGAGCGGGGACGGGCGGGGAAACGTACGGAGCGGGGACGGGCGGGGAAAACGTACGGAGCGGGGACGGGCGGGGAAACGTACGGAGCGGGGAAACGACGGGGCGGGGGAAACGTACGGAGCGGGGACGGGCGGGGAAACGTACGGAGCGGGGACGGGCGGGGAAACGTACGGAGCGGGGACGGGCGGGGAAACGTACGGAGCGGGGGACGGGCGGGGAAACGTACGGAGCGGGGACGGGCGGGGAAACGTACGGAGCGGGGACGGGCGGGGAAACGTACGGAGCGGGGACGGGCGGGGAAACGTACGGAGCGGGGACGGGCGGGGAAACGTACGGAGCGGGGACGGGCGGGGAAACGTACGGAGCGGGGACGGGCGGGGAAACGTACGGAGCGGGGACGGGCGGGGAAACGTACGGAGCGGGGACGGAGCGGGGCGGGGAAACGTACGGAGCGGGGACGGGCGGGGAAACGTACGGAGCGGGGACGGGCGGGGAAACGTACGGAGCGGGGACGGGCGGGGAAACGTACGGAGCGGGGACGGGCGGGGAAACGTACGGAGCGGGGACGGGCGTACGGGGGAACGGGCCGGGGGGGGGAAAACGTACGGAGCGGGGACGGGCGGGGAAACGTACGGAGCGGGGACGGGCGGGGAAACGTACGGAGCAGGGGGACGGGCGGGGGGAAACGTACGGAGCGGGGACGGGCGGGGAAACGTACGGAGCGGGGACGGGCGGGGGGGGAAACGTACGGAGCGGGGACGGGCGGTAAAGGGGGGAAACGTACGGAGCGGGACGGGCGGGGAAACGTACGGGAGCGGGACGGGGGGGGGAAACGTACGGAGCGGGACGGGCGGGGAAACGTACGGAGCGGGACGGGCGGGGAAACGTACGGAGCGGGACGGGCGGGGAAACGTACGGAGCGGGACGGGCGGGGAAACGTACGGAGCGGGACGGGCGGGGAAACGTACGGAGCGGGACGGGGGGGAAACGTACGGAGCGGGACGGGCGGGGGACGTACGGAGCGGGGAAACGTACGGAGCGGGACGGGCGGGGAAACGTACGGAGCGGGGAAAAAACGTTTTTACGGGAGCGGGGACGGGGGGGAAACGTACGGAGCGGGACAGGCAGGGGAAACGTACGGAGCGGGACAGGCAGGGAAACGTACGGAGAGGGACAGGCAGGGAAACGTACGGACCGGGACAGGCAGGGAAATGTCAGTCCCGAATGCACACAAACAGCGATCGTCCCACATGTGAGGTATCGCCGCGATCATCAGATCACAGGCAGCAATTCTAGCACCAGAACTCCTCTGTAAATCCAAAAGGGGTCACCTGGAAAGTGTCATCTATGGACAGTAATGTTGTTTGTCGCCGCGGCACGGGCGCGTGACATGTTTGGTATCCATTTACTCGGCGTAACATCATCTTTTATATTTTACAAAATAAAGTGGGTTACGTATTGTGGTTTTTTTTTGCAATAAAATTTTAAAAAAAAGTATTTTTTTCCCCCAAAAAATTGCATTTGAAAAACCGCTGCGCATATACCGCTTGACATAAAAAAAAAAAAAAAAAAAAAAAAAAAAACCACCAATTTATTCTCCGGGGCTTTTGCTTTGACAGTATTTAATTGGCGGGGAGTTGGCTTTGTTGGCGGACGCACCGGCTGGTCGCTCGGGAGTCCCGGTGGGATGGAAGATCCCGAGAGAGCTGCGGAAGGCGGTGGGAGACGGGGGAGGGCTGGGAATGAGGGGAGGGGCTAGGAATGGGGGGGGAGGAGTTAGGAATGGGGCCACCCCCTCCCGCAGCGGCTAGTTAGCTTCTCCGCTTCTTCTACACGAGAGCCGACCGCCAGCTCTAATAATGGATGCCTGC